TGCGTGCGTGCGTGCGTGCGTGCGTGCGTGCGTGCGTGCGTGTGTTTGTTTGACATCTGTGTCGTATAGTATCCATAGTGAGAGGAGCTGTTGTGGTAGGAAGGTTTGACCAGAACTGGGACCGCCTCTCTTCATCCCTAACGTAATACTGATCTTCAAAGGCAATTTTAACCAACAGCATCACTTCAAAAGGCTCCGTGCCCCAATTAGATGCAGTACCACTGTTGTCTGTCACTGTCAAGTCCAGTACAGTCAGCGCTTTAAGATGCCATGAAAACCACAGGTTCAGATACGATCACAGTTAATTTGTTCATGTGTGGAACTGTATTTGGCATGGGTTACTAAATTGCTTTTCTTTTGCACCCCGCACTCTTGTGTTTACAGTGGTCATATGTGACTCTTGTGAAATCAAATGCAAACTGTTTGTTTGAGGGAGAGTTTAGGAGAAGCTATCGCAACAGTTGAAAGGTAGTTATTGTTACCAGCACTACTGGTACACTACTGGTACATGTTAAACCGGGCGTGCTGTATTTAATTAGATGACACACCTTTGTGTTATGTGAACTTTTCCAAACAAAGCTGCCTCACTTAGTCTTGCTCTTAAAGGGATATGTGTGTAACTACACTTAATACTTGTGGATTTCCTCTCAACTCTGCCTTAAATCTACTGCTCGATTAGTGAATGTCAATCCTAAAGCTTTGTGTCTGGATAAAGGGCAATGAAGAAGAATAATAGCAATATAAATGCAGCTGTTCAACCTAAATATCGCTATGATTAGGGCTGGGTGATAAGGCCTGACATTAAATCACATTTTAAAGATTTTTTTTCTATTTAAAAAAACAAACTAGGCCTACAAAAAACAATGGCTGTGTATTGGCATGTTTGATTGTTTCCATACACAAACCTTACAGCTAAGGTTGCAACGCCGACGCAACATCCTCGTCTTATAAACAACGCTCTCTGTTGCTGTTGTAGCTCCGGCGTTTCCATTCTTCTCATATGGGATACTATGCGGGCTGCAGCCGTTTTATGCAACTCACAGTGCAACACTTTTCTCCCACTTGGCTGCATGCCTCAGTTTGAGATGCTGGAAAAAGAATTGTTGTGCTGCAACTTTTAGTTGCCATGGACTTAAGACAATATTGTTTCTTCCTCTTTTTCTCTTATCAGGTGTGCTGACTTATGTGAACTGTATGAAAGTGAAATGGGGGGCTATTCTTCAGGTCATCTCTACCGTAGCGAAGGTCCTAGCGCTCATCGTCATCATCATCACTGGCTTGGTTAAACTCGGACAAGGTAGGATGTCCCAAGAATCTCACTATGACTCCGAGGAATAAGAACTATAATTTACAGCATACACAAACATTTTTGTAACTTTATCTCATGGAAAATTTAATTTCAATTGTATAGTCCTAATGAAATGCTGACAGTTAAATAACTTCCATTTTCTCCAAAACGGCAACAAGTTTCAGGACCTTATTCTTGTTTTTCAAGGTTGTTCCTCCACAGCTTATTTTGGTGTTTTATCTCTTTACTCACACTGAGGAAAATCCACACAGATTACCTTAACTCTATTGACATTCACATTTCATGATTGTTTTTTATGTTTGTGATTGTGTTTGGCACTTGTTATTGATGATTTGCATCTATGTTTTTGTCCTTTTCTTTTACTAAACTGCTTCCAGCACATATCCACTTACAGTGTATATGTATAAATTGCAGGGTATTATACTAGTTATCTGAATATTACAATAAATAATAAGTAAGACATCAGCTGGATTAAATATTCAGGAATGATTTAGCCTTAGATGATACATCGTTATGGACTGGGGTCATTAACTAACCTTGTGTTGGTGCAGGTTTTGACCAGAACTTTGAGGACTCATTCAAAGGCTCTAAACTGGACCCTGGTAACATGGCCCTGGCCCTCTATGCAGCACTCTACTCCTACTCTGGCTGGGACACACTGAACTTTATCACAGAGGAGATCAAAAACCCAGAGAGGTACGCCGTCTGTTATTTCAGAAAGGTTCTTACAGCCAGCATTCCTGATGGCATTGCTTTTCATTAAGCCCATAATGTAACACATTATAAATCTGTAAATCTAGCATTTCATAAATCTGACTTAAAACTAAGTAATCGGACCTGAGAATTTCACATGACTGAGATCTTAGAGTTAATGAAATCCACTTTTCTCATTTTCAGGAATCTGCCCTTGTCCATCGCCATTTCCATGCCCATTGTCACAGTGATCTACATCTTGACCAACATAGCGTACTACGTCGTCATGGATGCAGAGAGCGTGCTTGCGAGTGACGCCGTCGCTGTGGTGAGTAACTTGGTGCATTCTCCTAAAGATGTACACGAGCACTAACCAAATTCGTGTGCATACTAATGCCGACCTATAAACTCTATTAGTAAATCACAGAACTGATCCAAATGGACAACATCTGCTCAGCCTGGTAGGGACTGCAGGGTTTGATCTTCGCTTCCTGTCTTCTGCTGTCGTCTCGTTCAGTCTGGCTGGCAGCCACGGGCACTAGTGTCTGGTTGGGTACTCCCTTTTGGTTATTTGTGGCTGTAGGATTGAGATGATGGCAGGAACCTCATTTAGCTAAAGAGGTTAGCGTCCCACACAGGAACATGGGGATGTGATTAGTGCATTGGAGGAGAACGAGTCGTACTGTTTTTTTATTATCTGTTTTTTATTATCTGTTTTTTATTATCTGTTTTTATTATCTGTTTTTATTATCTGTTTTTATGCGTCCGTGCCGGCGATAGCGGTGGAACACAGGGAGGTAATTTCACTGTCAGGTCACTGTGACATCTTGGACAGACATGGGGTGTAAATTGCAACCTGACTGGTTGGCAAAGGCGAACAAACGCAAGGCGGTAATTCTAGTTTAATAGAGTATTCACTGTTACTGATGTTCTAACTAGCCATGGGCCTCTCAATGGTGCTGGGTTTGTCACTACTTGGGCTTCACACATCAGCACTGAAAGTTCATAATATTTTAACTTAAATCTGGTTTGCTACAAACATTTAAAATCACATCCTGATTTAAGACGCTGAACTCAAAGAGGCTTTATTAAAGTTTTCAAAGATATTACTGTAATTTGCATAGAAGTGTGTATCAATGTTTAGTTGTTGTAAATTGAATGATGATATATAAGTGAGTTGCGCTTTTGGTAGCTCCCATGAATTTCGTCTTAATTTGTTGTTTTTTCACATTTATTAATCTTATTATCTGTTTTTTTTTAACTTTTATTTGCAAACACCAATAAATGAATGTGAGCAGTAATACACTTTGAATGTCTCCTCAGACATTTGCAGATGAGGTGCTGGGCTGGGGTCGATGGCTGATCCCTCTGTCTGTGGCCATATCCTGCTACGGAGGCCTCAACTCCTCCATCATTGCTGCTTCCAGGTCAGAACATAAAGGCACACCTGAATGCAGATTTACCTTGCTATTCTGCAAAATCCTAAGAGCAAACATGGTGACGTGTTCTCAACATTTTGTTTCTCCTGCAGGTTGTTTTTTGTTGGTTCCAGAGAAGGCCACCTGCCCAATGTGCTGTGCATGATCCACATTAAGCGTTTCACCCCAATTCCTGCCCTGCTTTTCAATGTTAGTATCACTTATTCTTGTTGGTTTTAGTATTGCACTGTGTGTATTTGGTTGTTTTGATGCCTGTGTCCCTGATGCTTGCTTGTTACCAAACTTGAACAATCTTCTTTTCAGGGTGGCATGTCTCTGATCTACCTGTCTGTGCCTGACGTCTTCCAGTTAATTAACTATTTCAGTTTTAACTACTGGTTGTTCATCGGCTTGTCAATAGCCAGCCAGATCTACCTGCGCATCAAAGCTCCTGATCTGCACCGGCCTGTTAAGGTAAGAAATTGATGCAGCTTGAATGCTGACGTGCATTGTTTTTTTAACCATGTATCTTGTTTGCACTATCCACTATGCTGCTGTAATCCTAATAAAGGATTATCTTAATAGTAATAATAACTTTGTTTTTAAAAAGGTGATGTATAAATAGAGTTCACAAAGTGCTTTGACAGTCAAAGCAGCCAAAACAAGGCAATGGTACAACAGAAAGCTCAGTGAGACCGTTGGATACGTTAAAAATAAACTAAGAAATTAATGAAATAAAATAATCGATAAAA